ACAAGAATTTCTAGTAAATTTCTAGTAATTAAATTGTATTATATGGACAGTATAATTCCTTTTTTCGTGTCCGTAAAAGATAATTTAAACATTCAAGCGAATATCGCTCAGACCATGTAATTTATCACTTTGAAACTCTCGTGGAAAAGTTACTTCGATTTTTCTTTTTTACATTCGCTTATGTACTTGGAGTCACGATCAATTTAAAACACACGCGCACGTACACGAGTTCTCCGAAATTAATCCTCCTACTGCCAAAGTTCGGCAAGTAACTTTGCGTTGCACTTCGATGCGTACATCCGGATATTACGGGATTAGCTTACACGTTTCTGTTCTGCTTACCCACCTTCGGGCAGTAGAATATCCAAACCCGGCCGATCACACGCGATTATCGTCCTCGACATTTTTCCTCTCGCTCACCAGTCGATGTTCGCCGTTTCGTTGACCGTTTTCTCTTCGCAGGTCGCTTAGAGGCCTCGATTATCCTCGTTGTTCGATCAATTGCCGAGATCCACGCCGGAAGTAATCTCCGTGATGGATCTCGATAGAAACTTAAGCCACCTTAAGCCGTAGTCAAGTCAAGCAGTCAACAATGGAATTCATCCTTTTTTTCCAGCTGTGTGCGTCACTTATTTAGCATTTCTATTCCCGCTGAGTCAGATACACCACCGATTGTTAGGAGCACAGGTGTTGCGCGGAATTTTTTATGAGAAATTTTTTACGGGTAAATGCACATTTTACACGCGCGTGATTTAATATTACGTGATTTTAGCCGTGCTGCTTGTATCTTACCTTTCGTATTCTTCGACCTTCGTCCGCTGATAAGACGCGAACCATGATATGAGTGACGTGTGCTAATTTCTGGGTCCATTTTTTACATTATTGGTACTTATGAGTCAACAAATGTCGGAGAGACGATTTATACGTTGTAGGATTAAATCAGTTCGTGGCTTAGGTAACGTGACCTCAGCTTATTGTCTTTATATTGAGGACAGTGTCGCGATCCAAGGAAAGACAGAGATGCACTTATCAGCCGATAACTGTGTCCGAAAGTGTGATCGGAAGGAAAAATAAAAGTATCTGTTGAGAATTTCGTTTCGACAATTGAGCAAAGTTGAAGCAGACGAGTTGGAGGAGGAGTTATCTGCTGGTAATTCCATCATCCGACAGTTAATTGAAGCCGACGAAATTGAGAATCGGTCTCGGTAATGATGCGAATAGCGAGCGGCCAAGTAAAGTGTTAAATTGTTGATGTAATTAATAATTCGTTAACAAATCCTGCGGGAGTCATGAGGAGGAACGTGTAGCTGAGCGAATGGAGTGGGGAGACGTCTCTTTACGACGAGAACCAGCAACGAGACATCAACTTCGCAGAGGCGATAGAGAGCAGCGATGGAAAATTAAGTATAATAACAATATTAAACATTTCTAATGAATATATCGTGGAATATTATTATGCATTTTTTTTAGCGAAAATTTCTTTAAACATATTAAATGGAAAAAAGTATGGGATGTCACTAAATATCTTAAATTAATTAAAAAATCAAGAAACATTATTGAATATTATCATTCAAATTTGAAATATTGTTTATCCGTTTTTCTTTTTAAATACATCGGGAATTGCTAAAGTTTTTATTAAATTGCTCGTTTCTTTCGATCGCTGATTGGCTTTTAGAGTAAAATATTGTTAATCGATAATAATATAGTGATATTTATGACATTATTATATTATATGATAGTAATATATGATAATAATATTAATAATACTTTTATAAACATTGGAAACTATCTTTTAAATAAATTAATATATGTTATAAATTATTGCAAATTAATTATGTAGTTTATGTATACATTATAATTAGTTATCGTAAATTAACGAGAAATTTTTACATATAAAAACGGCAATATGTAATGGTAAAGATATTTAATTTGATATAATATTTCTTAAAATATTTATGACAAATTGAATTAATTGTGTTATGTTGCCAAATCGACGTGTATTTCTTAATATTGTGAACTAATTAATTTATAGTTATTAAGGACGATTTTATTTTTGACGCTAATTTTAAGTGTGACTGTGTAGAAGCGACACACATGGTAGCTTACGCGTAAGAAGTTATATCACAGTTTTTAAGCTAATCGAGAAGCTTCGTCCGTTGCTGGATAAGAATTGGCTCGTGCGTGTGAAATGCGAGAAAGAGACGCGGCCGTCTAAGAATCAATTAATTGTAATTGACGAGAAAGTGCAAAATATACAGACATTAAATGTTATTTACACCAAACGCATGTTCATTGGATATATAACAGCAACCGTCCCGATATGATGACCGATGATAAATCAATACTTCCATTTCACATTTCGAGAGAGAAACGGAGATTTAATTGTCTCATATTTAGTATCAATCTCACAAATTAACACGAAATTCTAGCAAAGAAATCAAGTCCCTTCGTATTATAAACGAAGACAATATATATCCATTCGAGGCTCGCGTCGAAAGTTAGATAGAGTGTTAATTACTTCGGAAACAATTAGCTTTCGTTTGTTGTATCGCAGCTTTTGTACGTGGCGAAGTTACCAATTGTTGTCTGAAAAGAGTCGATCGGCCTCGAAACGACTGCATTGTACCGGGAAATAATAGTGTCACTCATAAAGCCACGACTCAGCATCATCTTAAATTAAAAGTAGCAAACAACCAGCGAGTCGACTGGTCCGCTATATTATTTCCCGTTCTCATTTGCAAGATATTAAATAACGTTAATTTTTGTTGAAATTCACCAACGTATTTTATTCAGCTGTTAGTGTCGCGGGTGCTCGGCTATTATTCAGACATCCCAGTCTGTTGGATTCCCAGATATACCTGGTTATTTTGCAAATTATTAGATGTAGAGTTCTGTGATTAGTGATTAGATAGTATCTGAGAAAAAGAAAAAGCAAAATATTCGCGAGAGTTTAGATATCGGATAGACATTCGTATACGCGAATAAAGTAATGTTAATATAAACTATTCGATTTATGTCAATAATATTAATTTTGTTAGTGCATTAATAAAACGAACGACATTAATGACCAACTAGGATGATGGTTTCATGAGGCCAGTTTAATATAACTAATTAAACAAATATATAATATTTTGTTGATCACGTAACATGATTTGCGTCACAATTTGTCACACAATTCGGTCACGTTCCCGAATCGAAGCTGATAAATAAAAGAAAACCGCCGATATCGACGGTTTTATCATGTCAATACGTTTAATTCTCGCATTATCACTAAAGGAGTTTTTCGTGTCACATTTTTAACGCTCGTGATTCAACGATAATGTCATGGCTTTGATATATTCGCCGGTCTGGGAATCTAACTATAAATCATAATTACACAGAAATGAAGCTGTTTATTTTCTTCAATTATTCGACATTGTTTCATGCGAAAACTGTCAATTGACGATTACTTGGATCGTATTATCTGTATTTTTGTATTACTGATTTCTTCACGAGCTCTACAAATAATTTAATTGACTCTTGCATTATCATTATTTTTCGTCGCTGCTATTGTTACGTTGCATTGCGTGAAAAAGTTAAATCGTTCTCGTTGTTATTATCGTTCGAATACGAGGAAAACGCGGTATTGTGGCGATAAATTTACGATTAATACACGAGATATAATCGTGTATTATTTTTTGCGGTTCATGATGGGCTAATGCATCGATTAACGGCACTCTGTAGAGCTGCTAATAATTAAGATAATTTGAGGTCAGCCGCACGGATAATGCAACATTATCTCGATACCGGGTAAATTTATTTTCGCGCGTTTCTAATGGACAAACGATCGATCGTGACAGAGAAAATGTTATGAATTTATCGACACGCGAAGTGAATTCAATCGGAATGTTAAATCTCTCGAGTCGATTAATTTTCACTATCTTTCACGAAGGCATTAAAGCGCGGCGATGGAAACAATATATACCCTGTTGTCGCGTTGAATCAGCCGCCGTGTGTATGCGTCAACTGCGTTATGCTGCTATAACTGCAACGGAATACGCGATATCGTTTATTATTACGTCTTCGGGGGGAATCAGCGAGCGAATAAACACAGATACGATGTTTTTACACGGCCGGGGAGATAACAGGCGAATTAACCCCTGACGTTTTCGTTGTGATTAAATTGTCCCGTTATTTTCTGTCCGATTTTTACGACGCCGGAGACGTAACGCAACAAATGCGGACTGTTATGACGGACGATGCTGGTTGATCTATCGGTAATAACAATCGCAACAAGACGTACGAATTGTATTTTTCATCATTGTTGCTATTAATATCGTTATTATTACACATCACATTGATTTCGGAGTGAATAAACTAAAACATGTGACAAACAAAAACACACAAGTGATATATCACAGAATACGTGAAAGAAAAAAGTATGACGATATAAACACTGCACAACTTTTAATATTTTTCTCTTCGAGAGAACAAACGCTATCTTTCTCGGAGATATGAAATAGTTACGAATCTTGAAGTGTCTAAGCGTCCCTATTCTAAATGACAACGGTTTTGAGAGCGACAGGCGGGGCTGAGACACAGATAACACGGTTATCTGTATACGTTGCTGTTCGCTGTGCAATTTTCAGCGCCCCATTTTTCTCGCCGACCCCGAAGAGACGACATCGAGAACCGACACGGGAGTGCTAAAAAACATTCAAATCCATTTTGATCCGCGCGAGCAGGGGTGCAGGAACGATCGTCGAGGGAGGCTCAAGTAGTTCAGACCCGATGAAAATCGTCGTTCCAGGTGAGTTCCTGCAGGAAGAAATGGACGTCGCGAACCTGATCGCGATTTCGACGCCAATTGCCGCCTTGTCGTCGGCATTTTTATCGCCGACATTTTCTTCGAGACATCGTGTCAGTGATTTTTAATTTTTGATAATTTTATTCTTAATACAGTACCAGAAATAAGTTCGCGAAGCAGAACGTATGAGAGGATTTGCCGAAACTAATGCACAATGTTGGTTGTGACACGCCGCTTCGCGCTGATAAGCGTTCTAGCGCTTTTCACGACTAAAGTGGGTAGCGCGGAACTCACGGGTAAAGAATGGTGGGAAACTACATTAGTTTATCAGATCTGGCCCAGAGGGTTTCTGGATACCGACGGCGACGGCGAGGGTGATCTGAAGGGTGAGTTAGAAGAAGGGTGATGAAGAAATCGTCGCGAATGGAAAGTTGCGCTCGAGTTTGAACCTTCATCGTACGTGTGTACGCGAATAAACGCGAATTCCGGAAATATAAGCGACTTTACTTTCATCAACAGGCATTTGTATCAAACTCGATTACATCAAGGATCTCGGAGTCGAGACGATTTGCTTAAGTCCCGTTTACCCTTCGCCACTGATCGATTCGGGATACGACGTCTCCAATTACACGGACATACATCCTCTCTTCGGCGATTTGAAAGGCCTCGACAACTTAGTGCAGGAATCACACAATCGAGGTATCATTGTTAACTCCTTTTAAATACCGGGTAATATTTCGGGCGACTTTTACAGCTTTTAAACTAAAACTTTTTCATATACATCAAGAATAGACTAGTGAAAAACATACCACCGCCGCGCCATTATAGTGGCTTCTTGGTCTGTAAGGGTTAATAGACTGTAATGTATACGCAGCTGGGGATTTATGGTATCTTCAACCTTTCAAAATGCAGAACGATATGTTCTCTGAAATGATTTATCGTCCATCGTAATAATTTATCGTGATAATTTCATATTCAACGTTGCTGCTCTTTTCAGGATTAAGAATCATTTTGGACATCGTCCCGAATCATTCCAGCGATCAACACCAGTGGTTCCAGCTGTCAGTAAAAAACGTAGAACCATACACTGACTATTATATCTGGGCTAATGGTAGTACCGATGACGACGGAAATAAAATCCCGCCGACTAACTGGGTTAGTATATTTTCTCTAATTTTTGTATCATATCGTTCCATAATATAACAAAAATTTTCATTTAATATAATACATACGGTGCGAACTTTCCTGATTTTAATTAATGATAACCAAATTTGTCGGAACAATCTTATTTAGTAGTAAAAATAACGTTTTAATTATTTTTATGCAGTTGAGCATATATAGCGATGAAAAAGGATCTGCATGGACGTGGCACGATGTAAGACAACAATGGTACTACCATAAATTTCATACGTCCCAGCCGGATCTAAATTTGCGAAACGAGAGAGTGATCAAGGAATTAATGGTAGTGCATTTAACACTCAACATAATAACAAAAAGATTTAGTTATGTTTCTGTTAATCTGACGTAATTCACAAGTGAAATTTAATTGAGAGAAATTCAAAGAAAGGGACATGTAACGTTGTAATTTTCTAAGATCGTAGTATCGAAAATGAAGATCTGTAATGTATTCTTCGTCATATAAATTTTAACACTTTTAATTTTAATAAATTATTCTTGCAAATAGAACGTGCTCGAATTTTGGATGATGAGAGACGTCGACGGCTTCCGGATTAATGCAGTGCCATATTTCTTCGAGGACGAAGGCTTGAGAGACGAACCCCTTGCAGGAAGCGGCTCTTACACCTTTGGTCTTCCTGAAAGCACTGCTCTCCTTTACAGATTTCGCGAATATATCGACGATTGGGTGTCGACGAATAACGTCACGTCGAAGTATGCGATTGATATTTTCCAAAATACGCATTGTAAAATAATTCGTTAAGATTTTCCTTCGCGATTTCAGCGTTACTTGATTGTCATAATAATTCGATGATTTACGAATTGTAGATTATTAATCGCGGAATCGTACGACTCTGACGCCAATTTAATAGCATATTACGGCAATGGCACACACGAGGGAATCCCACCGTTCAACTTCAAATTCATCACGCATATTCACAATAGCAGCGACGCTGACGACATTAAGAGTACCTTGGATTCGTGGCTCGCACGTCTTCCAAGAAACGCCAACACCAATTGGGTGGTGAGAACCTAATGATATCGAATGAGACTAATCACCGTCTATGATGTCCGCGCGCACAGTAATGATTATTTTTTACAAACACAGCTTTCGAATCACGACAACTCGAGAGCAGCTTCGAGAATCGGCCTCAACCGAGTGGACGGTCTTCACATGCTCAGTCTCCTCTTGCCCGGGCAAGCGTACACGTACTATGGCGAAGAAATAGCCATGCTGAACACGAAGATACCTTGGAGCAGAACCATCGATCCTATGGGCTGTTTCAAAGGCGAAAAGGAATTCGAACATTTCTCCAGGGATCCGGCGAGAACCCCCATGCAATGGACTTCCGCCGGATCAGCTGGTTTTTCGGATAACGACAACACGTACCTTCCTGTACATCCTAATTACATTCACAGAAACGTGCAGGCACAGCTGGCACAAGAGAGAAGCAATCTGCAAACGTACAGGAAGCTGGCTGCTTTGAGGAGGGAGCCGGTCTTCACGGATGGTGATTACGAATTCGCCCGTTTGAATAATAATCGCGTGTTGGCGTTGAAAAGGTTAGTGACGAAGATGACAAATCGTTCGATAATGAAGAATAATAAGATGAAGAGGATTACAATGAAGGCTATATTTAGCAAACACGAACCAACAATAACATAACATCAATGTTATAATTTTCCACTCAACTGTTGCATAACACGCGCGTGATATCGCATTTACATAGTCGAGTGGGAAATTATTAACGTTGACGTTATGTTAGTGTTAGTCGACTACTTCAGTTAGTTACTTTAATTAGTGTTTCCTGGGCAATTATATACTCACATACTTGATTATATCCCTGATTGATAATTAGGTTCGTGGAAAATCATCCGGTGTACATCGTCGTAATTAATCTAGGTATACGACAAGAGAGGATTAATTTAACTTCGATATATCCCAACTTGAAGGCTACTCTAGGCACCGTCGTGGTTTCCAGCAACGCGCTTCGCGTCAAGTACGTATCTCGTCGCATCTTCTTCTCTCTCTCTCTCTGTAACGTTTCATCACGGTTGTTGCGAAACACTTTGAAAATCGTCGTCCGCCTTCAGAGACGTCGTGTCGAGGGACAACTTTGTATTGACGGCAAACGCGGCACTCGTATTGAGAGGCGAAGAAGAGAAAGAGGCATCTGAACCAGCGACGAGCAGCACACGTGCGTATTTTTTACATGCAACTGCAGCAGCTTGTCGATATTTACCGACACACGTTTCATCGCTGTATAATCAGCAACGTTGTTTATTATTGATCGAATTTCAGCAACGGTCACTTCCGGCGTTGGAGACTCCACGACGAGCGAGCGGACTGTTACCACCGAAGACGCGATCTCTTCGTCCGAGGACGCGACAGAAAAAGGAACTTCGACGACGTCGTCGAAACAAGTGACCCCGAAGACGAAACCAAGCTCAACGGAGAAACCCGACGGCGCGGCATCGTGTCTCCCATCTGCGCTGCATGTAACGATGAGCATCGTGATAACTGTGATAGCATCGTGCAAATTTCAGAAGTAACGTAGAAAAAGAAGATAAGTACTTCCACGATAAAATTAGAGATTTGTACAATAAAATGTGTGGAATAAAAATAATAGACGAACGGCCTCCAATTGTCTCCAATGATCTCAATTAATCTTGACGAGCGCATTCGTCAATCGAAGCGTATCAATTCCGGGATTCGAAAGCGACCGGATTCAGAAACTAATCGCTTGGCCTTCGAGCTTAAATAATATCAAATTTAGCGGGCCGAACGTTCCCGAAATAGCGCGCGATGTTTCAGGTGACAACATTGATCAAGGGGATATCTGTCTGCCTAACGGTTTCGATATTAACGGGGGATCATTAGAGAATTAAAAGCGCCAAGTACGGCCTAATTAAAATCTTTGCCATTGTCATTACGAGCCTCGCCGGCGGATCGAGATGATCCTCGCGGAAGAGATTACTCGTTAGTTCGGCACATCCCGTGCAAACACCGGTTCGCCGGCCCTCCCGAAGGGGGTTAAGAGGATTTTCTAATGTCAATAATAGCGGAACAGAGACCGCTTTAAATGGTGACTCAGGTCGGGCTAAAAAAAGCGTGACCAGGTGTCCACGGAGGTCACCCGAGATCACCAGGTGTGCATACCAGCGAATGAGTTTGCAATAATATCTACGCAGCGAACACTTCGACGGCGATCTATTCTCCGTGACGACGCCGACCAGTCAACATCGGTCGCGGTTGCGCAAAATCGAGATCGAGTCCCTCTTTCTCGGTCTGAGCGCGCGAAGTGTGTCAGTGCTCGTCAGCGTTTCTTCCAGGGAAAACGCTGAAACGCTCGTTCCGTACTTTATGCAGCTCTTTTCTTCGCGCTTCGCGCTGTTGAAAGCGGCGTATCTTCTTCCCATGACGATGAGCCCGGGGAGAATGTCGCCGCGGAAGATTGAAGTTGACCCTGCCTCGGAGTGACGTTCCGATTGCGCGCGCTATCAGTGCGTTTCTTCGATTAATGAGAATAGATCCGGCATATAATTGTGACGGCGATGACGTATAATACGATGTTAATCGGTATATTTTCACTTACGAACCTCGCGCGCACTCGTGCTTATCTTCCGCCTCTATGCCACTGTAAAAACAACGATTCCTTTGTGCCGGCAGACTCGTAAATATTGGGGACGCGAGAAGAAGTAAAATGCGGGCGTTCAATTGAGATCGTCGAGACGTTTCTCCGTAAATTATCGTGCCACTGCGGACATCGGAAAGGAGGACATGCTGAAATGGAGCTGCAAGAAAAATCTATCTTCGCTCAGGAAAAACCGCTTTACGACGCCATACCTCTAATTATCTTCGAGAAAGAAGGGAAACGTTACAAAGGTTTGTGGCGGGATTTCGTTACGTTCTATTTGGGAAGTTCGAATTCTTTTAAAATAAGAAAAGTGGATGTAACTTATTAAAAGAAGACAAGTAGATGTGACTTTTTCACGTAAAATATATTTAGCAATAAATAACTGATACAGATATAACAGATGAAAGATCTCGTCGAAACGTTAATAGTCGGATGTTATTGTTTTGTTAAAGGAGAAGATACGAAATATAACGTTTCAAGCCCAATTTGCATGACATTCCGTTTATTATTATTCTGGATCTTGTGGACTGCGTTGATAATGGCGATGGTAATCTGCATTTTCGCACACTTTTGGTTTACCACTCGAAATCCCCATCGTTTAAATATGCACGAAAACGCGAATGTGTCGAGTAGGTGAGTATCTAATATTAAAATTCTCTGTTTATTTTTTCCCTTATAAAAGATATAATGTTTCGTAATATCGCCGGGTTTTGTCGCGCAATTATTGACGTTCTCTATCATAATTTATTGAATAAAATTTAATGTATTGTATGTTTCAGTAAACACATCGTCCCATAAAGTGAATTGCGATGCCCTAATGATCGGATTTTATGCATTAATATATTCGCGTGCATACTGTTCGAAATTCACAACATTAAAATTACGGACAACGAGGAAAGAATATATAATGTATAGATAGCACATTTCTCCTCTTACGAATGAGGTCGACGGTTTTGTAGTAGTCTTTGTAATAAAATGATTAGAGGAAACGATAGTAACACACAAGGAACCCGTTAATAATATACAGTCTTACCAGTTTTGAATATTTCCAATAGTAAAACATAAATTAACATAAAGAAATTATATAACTGCTCTGCATAGTATATTTATTTTTACTCAAACTTTATAATATAAAGGATTAATGGCTTAATAATGAATTGAGATAAAAATGTTGACTGGATATAATTTTTGATAGTGATATAAATCTTAGAAAAACATATAATGTCCCGTATCATCATCACCTCACATTTTCCATTAATATATAATTTTATAATAATTTTATTTTCATTACGAACACATACAATAAACATTCTGTTATAATTACTATAATTATAAAAGATAATAAATATATATATATATAAGATATAGAAAATATTATAACAAATTTTTTTTATTTATCTGCGTTTAAATTATTTATGTGTATGATAAAAGGAATAATTAAAATTGTTTTTTATATTATTACCTCTGCATTATTACCTATATTATTACCTTTGACCTTTAAAAAACTTTTATCATAAATATTCTCTATAGTTATTACTGCACTTTGTACAATTACAATAATAATATTATTCTCTGGCTATCCTATTGCAGATATAGTCAATATCTGAATCAACATCTGAATAGTCGGATACTTTAGTATTACCCGGATACCGAAACTTTCGGGTATTTCTTGAATATCTAATTACTTTGCTAAATTATTCCGATACTCGAGTATGGCTAATATATACAATATCAGGGAAATGAGAGACAAAATCAGCTAATGCGAAAATATACGTTATTACTCGCGACTTTTGATTACATGAATTTGTGAATTTCGCAAATTTATCTACCGGACACGCGTGTAGAAATTACTCGATTTACACAGACACATTCAGAGAAAGAATGAACTTTAGGAGCAGAAAAAGGAACAACTAACGTCGTTGCCACCGCAGCTAAATGTGTTAGCTGTTCGAATTAAAGCGCCACAGCAAACACTGCAGTTGTATCTCCCAGCAAATGCATTTTATCTCGAACAGCTACCGCGGTTGATAAATTTCAGCTGCCAGAGCTAGACTTCACTTCCTCCGAATGAAAAAGTGAAACGACAAACAGCGTAGTTTAAACATCTTGTTTAGTGACCGACTGCGATCTCTTTAAAGTGGGTTGCGAGAAAGAATCTCGATTCGACTTGCCCTGAGTAAGCGTGGTCGAGCTCAGCATGACGGAGATCTGCTCCGGCAGTGGACAGGCGATCAAGAGGAGGTCCTCCGCGTTATAATACTTATTCAAGGCCTGATGCAGCTGCGTGAACGCGGCGCAAATGTTATTCTTCACCGGCTTGAAGAGGATGAACTCGGTCTCCTTGTTGGCCAAGTACAGCTGCATCGACTGCTGTATCTCCGGGCACTTGAACTTGATGACCCTCAGCACATCGGCTACTATGGCCGCGACTTCCCGCGCACCGCCCAGCGCGTCCCCCTGGCCGGTCGCCTCGTGCAGCTTGTCCTTCTCCAGCAACTTGACGACCGGGAATATCAGCAGGTAAGTCGCGTGCTGTATCAGCCGCTGGCAGGTGAATTTCAGCTTCGCGTCCACGTGCTTCCGCGAGTCGATGAGCTGCTCCTTCATCTGGGGCGCGCCTTCCAAGAGGAACTGCAGCAGCGCGTTGTTCGACAAGGTGAACAGCCGGGAGCTCTTCTCCAGCAATCCGAACGCGGCGGTCTTCACCTTGGAGAAGTCCAAGCTGTACTCTTTGATGGTGAAGTCCACTTGGAAGGGGGCGATCTGCTCCCGGAGGATCAGCAGGTGCTTTATCTGGAAGAGTTCGGCGTCCAAGGTGCTCGCTCTCCTCTCGATCTCCTGCCTGGCGTTCTCGATGCTCTGAACGCAGAGGCAGATGGCCTCCTGGCTGAGCGACTGGAACACCGACCTGTCCACGCAGCGGTAGAGCCTCGACAGGCAGACCAGGGTCCTGCGGACCGTGGGGTACCACATGCCGTGCAGGTCCGCCGGCGAATTCCCCATGTGCGTCTTCTGGTAGATGGAGTCGATGACGATGTGATTGCGAGAGACCGGCTCCAGGGCGGAGCTGTCGGTGGACGAGACCGAGATCTTCTTCATGCGGCTCTGCCGAGTCTCCTCCCTGATCGACTCCGCGATGTCCTCCATCATCTTCAACTTCTCCGGGTAGGCCAGGTCGCCCGCGGACGGGTTGTAGTTGAGCACGTCGGACTGCAGATAGAGATGGGCGCGGAACACCAGCCTCTCCTGAACGTCGTGCAGCAGCTGCAGGCAGATGTTGCCGAAGCCCTCCAGCGGCTCGAAGTTGTTCTGCACGTGCTCGTCCAACATCTCGATCCGCAGGATGCAGCAGATCTCGGCCAGCGTCTCCAGATGGTTGATGTGTATGATGAAAGGTCTCAGGGCGTCGTAGAGCGAGGTGCACAGGCTCTCCAGGTAGGCGGTCAGTCCGCTCGATTGCTTCGAGAAGAACTCGTAGAACAGCCGGTGCTCGTCTATCGAGGCGTGCAGCAGCAGGGCGCACGCGTGTCGCACCAGGCTGCAGTGGTCGCCGTTGTACTTCTCCCTGACGGAGTTCAGGGACTTCTGTATGCTCGCACCTAACACGAGGCCTCGCTGGCTCCAGTAATACTGATGGCACTCGAGCAACAAGCTGTCGTACTCTTGCCTCTTGTACGACTTGCCCTCCACCTGCTCGATCACCGGCTTCGTCTTCGACAGGATCGTCTGAAACCTGCCGTAGAACAGAGCCAAGGCTGCGTCCGCGTTCTCCGGTGTGCCCTCGCTGTCCTTCAAGTTCAAGATGCTCTCCGTCGTCTTCGAGAACAGATTGAAGATGTAGTTCTGTATCAGCGCGATCGCCTTCGACTGGCAGTGCCTGTACCGCACGAGGTAAACGCCGCTCTCGTTGTACGACGAATTGTTCTGCATGAAGTTGATGTTCGTGTCGATCTTCTCCAGTATATTGAAGAACATTTCGCTGTTGACCGACAAGGTAGGGGCGTCCAGCTTCTCACTGATCACGTCGATCTCCTTGAAGTACCTGACGTATTCCGTGATGCTGTCGATCGTCGCGTTCAGCTGCTTCTGGTCGGAGATCAGCTGCTCACTGGCCTCGTACAGAGAGGTGGTCTTGCCGGATACTTCGGTGTACTGTTTGTATAGCGCGGAGAAATCGTTTAACGCATCTTCTATCTGAGAACAGACCTTCTCGCACTCGGACCTCCTCGACTTGAGCTCGTTCAGGTACAGATTGTACTTCATGTCGTACATGGACACGTACTTTCTCTCCAAGGACAGGTAGTGCTGAAGTAACTCCTGGTATCTCTCAATGGGAAGCGTGTCCTGTGAGTCCCGCTGCGCCTTCTCGTCGTCGCCGCCGCTGATTGAATCGCTCTGCGGATTCCACGATGGGAAATACGAAGTGACGACAGTTTCTAGGCTTGACAGGCAATCCTTCTGACATTCCGTCAATGGGGCCAAAGGATTCTCACATGAATCCCACTGGTTGAGGTTATGTGGAAACGGCTTCGGCTTCGACATGGTTACGTTCGCGAGAGAAACATTCGAATGTCAACGTAATACGTACATTGATTGAAACATGGTCCGAAATTCAATTTGGATGCGCGTATTTAATGCACAAGTTGGAGAGCGAGCGGCTAACAGAAATTACCACGTAAGACGTCAATTCGGCGCTACATTTGCACGTAACCTGTACCACCAACTCTGGGTAAAGATGGGCGACGTTCGATAGTTCCTTGTCGAGTTGTTTTGTGCGGCACCGATAGATGGCGCTGGATGACAAGTTAGTCAAACGGTCGGTAAGCGGTTCTGATAGTTTGAAATTCTCACTTCATTCTAAGGGTAGAACGGAAAATGACGGTGAGGTAGAAATGACGTGAAAGCGACGAGAAAAATATTATAAAACTCATTTTCCGATCATCTTTTCGTCATTTTGACCTCACTTTCACGTCATCGTCATTTTCTGTTCTATCTGGGGAGAAACTGTCATCATTTCATTACTTTATTATTATTATCATTAGCACGTTGAGCACCGCGCCAATTTCACATGATTTTCCATTCCGCCGCGTAGACCACCGATAATCCACGATTACTGCATTAATTTTTATCATATATCTTTATGAGATATATCTTCTCAGTCTCAATTTCATTCAACGCGGAATAGCATTTACATTACATCTATATTATAATTTCGCACTCAATAATAATATAAATGTAATATAATACATCGAATGCGAAATTATAACATAGATATAATGTAATCGATGCTCGGTGTGTTGGCTGGGATAATATTTATAAGATTATGAAAATTATTATTATATATATGAAGGGAAGAGATAATTTGAAATATGCGTTATGCAGTCCGAACGGAAAGTCCGACGGCTCATCATTTTATTTTTACATACGATTCTCTTATCGGTCGGAAGAAGAAAATGAAAAAAGAAAATCCATGGAAACATGGGCAAGAAAAAAAGAGGAATCCTTGACTCTCTGCTTTGAGTTCGTATAATGTAGTCATTGCAGTAACAACCTAGATTGGGTCCACGTGTGAGACCAATCGTGGTGTTGCTCAAATGCGGAGCGAATGTGCTTGGTCTGTGTAATGGATCGGTCAAGCAGTTGGTGTCCTTACAAGTCACGACCTTAGCAGGAATGAAGCGACTAGTGATGTCCCAATGAATTCATTCCCGTGCGACTTCATCCACCTCGACAGGCTTACATGTGTAAACTTTTTATTAACAACATTTGTTAGTACCCTCAAGCGTCCAAAAATATAGATCGTATTATTATAGCAGGGACACGTAGCGATTACCTTGATGACATAATTAATCTCAAAATTGAGAAAATTAAATATGCCTTACTTGCGATCAATGATCAGTATTGATGTAAATTTCGAAGAAAATCAAACTTTCATCTCACAGAGTAGACGCAAATGGAAAGAAATGGAAGTTAAACTGATATAATCCGCCTATCTCTTAATACCCTATAAGTTACAGTTGAGTAAGTAAATTAAAATTCATGACGGTCGAAAAATCTTTTACGCGGCTCGCGCGTGAATTTATCGCGGCTAGATCGTGGGCCTCGATTACGCAAGTGACGGAACCGTCAAGATCCCGGAAAAGATTCCAGACGCGAATCTGCGTGCCCCTAGGAGGATTCGGCGCGGAGATTCAACAGATACAACGTACGTGAGAGAGCGTTTAGACACGTCGTTCCGAAAGAAAAAAACAAAAAAATTGGAGTTTACCGCGATTCCGTGCTGGTCGCCGGTGAAAAAACTTTTGCTGGTTTCCTCGAGCAATTCCATGTTACAAAGGATTCCATTCAAACCGGTTTGCCCACCCTAATGGCGTGGGTCCTTAACCTTCTCGCAAAGACAATGATTTAACTGCAGCGCCAAGCTCGTGAGATAAGCCCACGCGTCTCTCGACATAGGGCGTGACGTCACGGCTTGTAAATTGTCGAAAAAAAGACAATTCGCGATAGCGCGTGCTGGTAGCGAGAAATTACGTCGTCGCAGCTCCAAATATGCAGCGGTCAGGATAACGATACCGTTACATGTCAATTGCGTTCTTTACGCGCTCCTCCCCCCTCTCAAGTATAAGCGAATTATTTTGATACCGCGTGTTTTGCTCGAAACTCGTGATGGGAAAGAAAAAAGAGAAGCTGCACGAAATTGCACCCGAAAGAAACGAACAGATCTTGGTCACAGCAGGCAAACACTTTCTCCTAGTAAAATCCATCTCCCGTGTGGCGTGCGAGGCAGATTCCTTCCATATATTAGCACATCAATTTGTCATGCCTACTCCCATACTCGTCCACCTAGATAACGATAAATTCCGATACATTTCCGGCACTTTGGTTACCCAGTCGTGAATTAGTAATACAGGCGTCGGAGATGCCTGCGTAATTCGGGGTCGAATGTGTACGTTCGCTTCTCTCACACGCACTTTCTACACAGAGAAGAAGAGGTTTTTTTTAGATTTAGTGTGCACGTTTATTTGACGGTGGATTTGCTTAATACAAACAACTATTTAACAATAATTTAATATCAAATATCATTTTGTTTGAAAATGTTGTTCCACTGGAATAAAACGTGTTGTTTGGCGGAAATAACAATATTATCTTGAAGAAATAATACATTTAGTTTTAAATAAAAAAATTATTTCATTGTGTATTAAATATTATTCCACTGAAACAAGCAAGTTTTTAAAAATATTTTTCTAATAACAATTGAAAAGTGTGATAACAATTTTAAAAAATTCATAAAATATTCCACCAAAATATTTATAAAATCCATATAGAATTAAAAGATTGTTTCAGAAGATTGATTTAATATTTTTTTGCTTACTGGGGATGGATATAACTTTAGGTGCTGAGAACTTAACAATGAAATTATATATTAATCGAGCGATTTTATTCAAGAAACACTTTACAAATGAGATTCCGACCGTTAATGGGCTAAGGAGAGATACGTGAAAAGTACCCGATACGGAGAGAACGAGTGCATTCTTAGCTCCGGCATACCAGAATTAATTAAGTTTTATAGCGACATGTTACGCAATATTTCGTTCCTCCGGTCTCGAAAGTCTGCAGTTTGAATAGATTTTAAATTTTAATTTGCCCGGAGAAAGAGAGAGAGAGAGAGAAGACGGTTACCTACATTTTCGCGATATCGCCATTATATGCCACGATATTTTATCTTCTTTACGTGACCGCGGTGAAACTGTAGTTTCGCGTGGCGAGTTGATGGACCGATGCCTTCGAAAAATTCGAAGCAGGACCTCGAGTGACATCACCTACCTCACCCACTTGAATTTCCGGGTCGGAATCGGAGCGTGCCGCCAGATTTCCTCGCTCGTCATGCCCTCGCCTACGTGAGCCCCTTTTCAAGCGACCTTCACAAGTACTCCGAAGGTGCTTCACAGGCTCGATACGGCTTTCATCTCAAATCGATACGAAGCGGCATTTGTAGTAATTATATTAATATTCAGATACTTGGATATTCAAGTATCATTAGGATATCGGAAATTCTTGGCATTCGATTGTTTTGAGCGGTGTTTGAGTACCGTAATAATATTCGCGAATATAAATAGCCGATAAAGAAACTACCTCCGTAAGTTTGTATCGGCAACGAGAATTTGTCATTGTTCTGAGGGAGGTGAGAAATGTGCTATATTTTGCACAAAGCGAGCATGCGAACGGTGAATCCAAAAGGATACAAGGACACGAATTTGTAACGAGAGCGCGTCCGCTGTGAATGCAGCTTTACGCAAGTCCCACGTATCTGTAACAAGCACGATACCACCGAGTAAGGAACGAACGGACCCCGAACGGCGCGTAAATATTCATATCAATTCGCCGACATCGCGAGGAACTGGCTGCGGAACGCCGGTGGCATGCGAAACGCACGGCTGTTACCGGAATGGCAACAAGCGTGGCTGAACATTTTTGCGGGAAGTTCAATGCCGCGCGCCCCTTCCCGCCCGCTGTATGCATACTGCATACAGGGCGGATTTAACGGAATAACTCGCTCCTCATCCTCGCGATGGATTTCTCGGCCTGCGAGCGAAACTGAATTTTCGCCCGAACGGGAATGCCGAGAGAGCGCGACATTTGGAAGCTGCGCAACCGTGAAGCTTTTTTTTCCGAACAGCAAGCGCCGGAGAAGCAAACGGACACCGTGTCGTCTCGTTTAATCTCAGCGCTTTGACTCGTAAGTTACGGATTCGCCTCAACTCACACTCGTAAATCACGCGGATAATTCTCTCAAAAACTTGTGCACGATGATCTCCCTCGCGACCTTTCCGTTAAGGATCGGCTACGATGAAAGGTGGCTCGCCGGGATACCCCGCGCTCACCGGCCACCGATACGATCTGCGAAACGAAATATGCTAAGGCAAACCGCGACCGAACGTCATTTCACGGTGTAAAAAATCTTCGACCGCCATAAACGAGGTTAGTCGACCGAGAAGGATTATCCTGGGATCGCGCGCGTGTGTCATACGAAGGATTTTTAGAATCCCGCGGAGTACAGCACCGTTCTTTGTCCGCGCAGCTGTCATCGCTGCAGGAATCAACGTTCGAATTTCGTCCACGCGATTTCGTCTGCGTTTTGCGGGAAGACGGAAAGAAAGTTTATTGCTGTAGCAACTATGTAGATGCCAGAGAAAAGAAATTTTCTTTTCTATATCCACCACGAAATAATTACTACTTGGCCACATTTTTATAATTGTGGCTTTTTTCCCCGAGCGCTGTTTACATCGGCGCGTTTACATAATCGCATGTGTAATTACGTCAGGTATCGTACATGCGGCCGAATACTGTTTGCTTGAATAGGGTTGATTGCGGGCCCGCCTCGAATAAATCACCCAATAAATGGCTCTACATGAAGTCTTGCGCTATCGCACCCTGCACTCACTCTCACCTCGGACTCTCATAAATCCGTCAGCGAGAGCGTCGGTATCGGCAAATTCGCCTCCGGCCTGGGAGCATGTCCAGACTTTTGCATACTTCAGGAGCCTCGTTTATTTCGGGCTGCTATCATCCTTAACCCTTTCAACGGCGCCAACGCGTATTTGATGTAAGTCCGAGCGTGTGTCTCGGAATCGAAATAAATATCGACGTCTCTTACCCGAGAACGACTGACTTTCCAGCAGGATGCGATGTTTTCAAGTCCGGCGCGATTTACGAGAGAATTCCCCAAACGCTGAAGACGCTTCTCGACGATAAAGGAGATCAAGTATTTTTTTTTCTCTCGGAGACAGAAGTTCCCCGATTTCTTTCTCGTGAGGAAGCTTTCCGCGCGTTACCTCTCCAGGCAATCGGGTTACGGGGACTCCCTTCGTGGTTTCGGTACTCCCTGGCAAACCGGATCAGTCGGGATTATTTACAGGTAAAATAAGGAGTACACGACCCCGTCGTCCAGAGGTGGAACGGTTAAATCCGATAAAAGACTCTTTATACTTCTTGGAAGGTATCCTCGGCCCGCAGAACACAACGCCCGACTGTTGCTCCATGCTGGGCGTTGTACGAATGTACGCTTCGTCGAAAAAGAAAAGAATAATCACGAAGGATTACGTTCGTTCGCGCTTATTCGCGTAATACGCTGCCGCTGCGTAAAAACGTAAAACGAGAAGAAACGAAATTCATCTCCGAGGGGGGAAATTAGACACCAGCTGAGAATATTTATAGAGCTATTATACATTCTGAAAGCGCGGGCGCTTTCGGCCGAGCAGTCCCGAGCGGGTCAGCAAACGGGAGTCTGAAAGCAGAGACGAGAGTCCTCATGTATCCAGTCTACGAGAATTGTCATTTCAATTCTGATCTATTCTCCATCCGTGATCGAGAGGTGAGAGGGGACCCGTAGGATCCCCCCGGCGGCGACGAAGATGAAAGTGGCTCTCGCGCGGGTGCACGTGTTATAACGCCTGTGTTGCTTCATTAACAATGACAGAGCGCGACGGGCCAAGCCGAAGAAAGTTACCTACGAATAGACGAATAGCGTTCGCTCGTCACTCGATAAGCGGGTCCGTTAAAAACGGGATTCCTAACGATCCGGTATTATGAAAGGAGCGTATCCGGGAATACATTACCCGCCGCCGAATTCTATCGGCGGAAATGCAAACGCGCCCACGTCGATTATTACGATATATCGAGGGGCCAGCGGCTTTCTCCCGATCTCGAGAAACACCGCTACCGTTTGCGCGGCATCCGTCATCGCCGGGGAGTCATCGCCGATGTGACCTTGTTCGGGTGCACGAAATGCCTCGATTCAGGATTATATGATTCATTGGCTCGGGGAACTGGTGGAAGGGGGGACGATCGCTTTCGCGATTTATTTGCTGACTCTTCGATTCAACCGTGAAATTCTGATGATAGCTAATTGGGTTGTTATCGTCTAGATTAATCGTTGCTGCACCGTATGTCGGAGATCCTGTCCATTTTTTCGATGAAATAACAACAATCGGGCTCTGTTGCATCTCGAACGTCGCTCCGTTAAAATGAGGTGTCAACGTGGAAACGATATTGTACCATTTGTTTTGAAAAACCGAAAGCTAGGCTTCCGGTTAATCGTTGACAATGGAAGCGAAAGATGAAGCATTCCAGAGGAACAGGTGCATTCCAGAAACGCTCGCGCGGGGCCTTGCAAAAGTCCTCCACATATCTCGAGACTTGCGCTCACGCAAAGGGCATTGAGAGCGCTCTCCAATTAAAAGTCATACCGATCGGCAATTAATTGATTCTACTGAAAGGTGACTGTTATTAATCACCTTGGCGAATATGATACGCACCACCATTAGTCGTATACGGCGAATTTATTCGGATTAATCCGGCATTAATTCATCTGGTTGTCCAGCAAACGTGGGAGCCGAGACCTAAGTGCGCTTACGCAAGGACGCATATGAACTACATTCTCGGACAGCGCGTCTTTGATCGAGGCTCTTCACTGGCCGTCCAATCGAGATCGACGAGCGGGAAATATCGATCGGTGTCAAGTGAATCCTCGTCAAATGAAATGATAACGAAATCTTCTTATGCTTTTGATATCTGCGCAGCGTCGCGTGTGTGTGTGTGTGTGTGCAATGCACAAAGAAAAAAATTTCTTTGGAATCTTCAGATTCAATGAAATTTCTTTTCAGACAAATTTGTCCTTTGGAATGAAGCAAACGAATGAATGTTTGATTCCATAAACAAGATCGTTCGGTTTATCAAATAATAAATAATAAATATTTTTACATCAAATAACATATTTCCTTTGCATTTTCATATCAAACATTACAAAAGTTGTCACAAGCAATAAATTATTTGGAAGAAGTAACTTTAAGTTAGAAAAATATGAAAGAACCTCTTTGTTTCAGTGGAAAAATATTTGATATATAATACAACAATTTTTTTATCGAAACCAAATATTATTTCAACAAATTTTTAGCACATGGAAATCATCATTTCGAGTAAAAACTTGAAAAAATCCCGCGTTGAAAAGATCAAACAAACCACGTATACTAAATCTAAAGAAATTTTTTTCTCTTTCTCTCTCTCTCTCTCTCTGTGTATGTATGTGTATGTCGCTTTCAAACAAATGTTTGTCGCGTCTCCTGAAAAATATGGATATCGAGAGCGAGGTCCTCTCCTAGGCAATCGACTTGACGCTCGCGAGTCGAAATTGGTATGCCACCGTGAGATCAACTAGCATCAATCGCGACAAATTAATTCCACGCAGTCGCGGTAGCGCAAAAAGTGGAAGAAAAAAAAACACACTTAAGGTGAAAGACTCGGACGAGAGGGGAGGAGGTGTGAGAGAGCAGAGAGGAAGAGTGCGCACGGGAGCGATCTCGAAGGAGTCGAAACGAGAAGAATAGGGAAAAGAGAGAAGATGCGAGCGAGGATGGGACCCGGGTCGGTGGTCGGGGGGTCGGCGACCCCCACCCTGTATAAAAGCCTTTTTCTGCCGACGACGTGTTCAGTCTTTCAGTTCGAACGGCGCGCTGCGTGCGATTATCTCCGGTAATCATCCTCGTCGTCGTCAACCTGGAGGCCTGCCGGCCGCGGACGATGCCCTGCTGAGAAAGAAACCGGCGTCAGGATGTTGCGGCCTACCACCGCGGTTCTCTTCACCCTGGTACGTTACCCACCACGAACATCCTTTTGTGTGTATCTTAGGGACTCGGGGAGTCGACGAACTCGAGGAAGGAAAGGCTTGGAATCGGTCCAGCCGGCTTCCTTCAAAAAACACGCGGCTTGTATCAATGAAAATTATTGAACCGAGAAATACATAAGGAACAATAGTAATAATTTTGATAAATAACGAAGCATAGGGAGCAATTAAAAGTGCACGTCGCGTGTTTTAACAAGACATATATATTTGTATAAAACAGTGTTTATTTAAAAAAATACTAATTCCTTGAAGTTGCATGAGTAATAATTAAATGTATATTAATTAATTAATTGAATTATACATTTTGCGCGAAATAAACAGGCTACTCTTCCTAATTAAGTAATTTCTTGCGCCAGCTTGATTTCCTTATTGAATAATTATCGTTTGCAATTACACGATTGAATGACACACATGTTGTATCTGCCAGTCGTAAGTCGAACGTGTAAGTTACATATGTGACGTTTCATTATACGAATACCTCGCGGCGATACTGACTATTCTGTCACGACGTGTGCATTTGCATCTGGTATATTTTTGTGTTGGAAAGAAATGCAAACGTCAACGTACAAATGTCAACGTCACGTTACGAAATCCTTCGGCTACAAGTAGACTGCACGTAGAAGGTCGGAAAAATTTGACAGGGAGAAATTACGCGGACCCCTTTTAGAGATCTCGCGTTCACATTCCTTTGTTATTATTTCATGGATATATTTATTATTGTTGGCAGAAAATTTTAATAATTATGTCACTATACATTTCAAGTATTGCAGACTGTACATTAGAAATATTACTTTAATTTTTTTAATAATAACTTAATTTTTTATAACCATGTCATGTCACAACGTATTGCTATTAATGCTGTCAATTTCGGCTATTCGGATACCCGATTCTTTCAGTAACTGAGAATACGGCTAATTTCAGACGTTATTATCTGTTATTGTTGGAAAAATCAATAATTTGCAAGGTCTGAAATTAGCCGTACACTCAATTATTGAAAGACCTGAGGGTGGTCGAAATCGATAGCGCTAATTACTCTATCGTATATATCCTGACATATTATTATAAATCTGAATAAACAGAGTATATTCAATATTGTTATTAATAACGCTATTCAATAGAAAGTAATGGAGTACGTGAATTGTTCGCACAGTAATAGTACATGATAGAAAGTGACGCTGATTACATTCCATGATAGTCGTGCTCGACGTGACTCATTATCCGCGAGATTCTCATTGATCTTGGCATTCGTGCAGAATGCCGTTGCACTACATTTCATTCATAACTTCTTTCAATGTCGCGACGCATTATCGTGCAACGTACGTGACGCTCGACCCACTCAAATTCTGACTTGCAATTTCTCCTTAGAAATATTGTAAGTGCCAGTGCACCTTGACAGGCAAGGATTCATCGATGTATGAGGATGGGAGGAACATAATTTCTCGCTTCACTCGTCAAGTTATCGGCTTATAAGTAGCGTTGTCGATATAAACTCGATAGTTCATGTGCCTTAATATTTACGTATTTTAATACTCAGATGTCTAAATAATCGTATGTAATTAAGTATGTAAATAATAATATTCGATTATTGTAACGACTGACGAAGAATTCTTGCAACGAATTTTGATATCATTCTTCAGATTAAAACGTAATTCCGGATGTTTTGCAATTGCAGCGTTGAAAAAGGTCTGAAGAAGATCGAAATGTTTGTACTTCTTAATTTCGAACATATAACTCGATGTTATCAATTGAATTACCGTATATTCCCGCATTTTTATCTCGCGTCTGGTTTTTATAGACCTGAATTATAATTGGTGATTGTTTTGTTTGTCAAAATGAGCTTTAGTTGTTCTTTAGTTGATTACTTAATCGTTTCTTTCATCCCTGTGGCATTTTTATTTCACCCATATAGCAATATATCTTTTCTTGATATGCCCCGATAATTATTCTCATGCATTAAAATATGCTTAATTCGGATTGGGCAACATCATTGATATCTTGCGTAATCTTGGGAGAGTTTTTTGGCAAGCTCAAAAATTGTTTTATTCTGAGTAATCAAATGTCAGATGAGATGTCGCATAACGTGAGTCATGTGTAAACGTCTGTTACCACAAGATGTGTCATTTGCATTTAAAGTGTAATTTGATTTTTAGTGAGCCAGCGTGTAATTTATTAGCACTTCAAAAAGAAAAAAACTTGCAATTCTATCGGAAAATTTTAATTGATCTCTCGTGTTATCGGAACTCACACATTCTAGTAATCTAAAAATGCCTCCAGCGTCTATTTCAGCTCTCTCTCTCTCTCTCTCTCTCTCTCTCACGTGATTAATCCGTCAAAATATTTCCGAGATTATGCCGACAGAATGCAATATCACGGAGATCAATGCGATCGGCCGTACAGAAGGCGAACAATTGTATACCGGAGGCTTCGCCCCGGGCTAAAACGCTGGTCCTTTACGCAATCGCTTACAGGTGACTTTCACTGGAAGATGATGCATCGATCTGGTCCTCTGTGCACGATGCATACAGTGATACAGCTTTGGCTTTGGCTGACCGGCGGATTCACCGTGCGCAATTAAAAGAGATCCGGCTACGTCAAATGTCGTCCCGCTTACCTTTAACTCGCACCAAAGTCTCGAACGCGCGACCTTGTTCACTCTTGATTGATGGTCCTTAATAATGCTTAGCTTAGATTTGCGAAAAGACAAGACGCGTCTTCAGGTGCGCCGATTTGGAATACTTTTCGCCTGCTCTTCGTCTCTTCGTAAGCAAAAATAACTTAAAAGAAGAAATGAAAATTGATGGAACACACCAACACACGGAACAGACGGTGATTTGTTAGAACAAAGCGATTTAATTCGTCGTCGCAGCGCCTTTAAAGCTGAAGGTCGGTCGGTGACTTGTAGCACGATTAAGGATTGTTTCGCAGACATTAGCGCAGCCAAAGATGAAAGTCGCAGGATCGAGAGTGATGTTAGGCTCTGGCTGAAACGATAGCGTGAATCATTTTTTCGACTCCCCTGGCGGATTCCCGGCGTCCCTGAACGGAATCCTGATTCTGTCTCCTCCCATTCTCTTTCTTTCTCTCTTCCTTGCACTTTGATAAATACGTTTAGCGAGCTATTCCTCCCACGAGAAAATTTAATTGCACCTTTCGCCGCGCGCATCTCCCGCATATAAAGAGCTATTCCGAGTGAGCATATGATCAATGCACTAAATGAAAACGGGGCGGATCGATTGTATCTGTCTAATTTATTTACCGCGCTGCATCGCAGTGCATTTGCATTATTATAATTATGATGCGCGAGATAATGTTAGCTGTCAAGATCAAACGGTCGAGTATCGATATGGCAGTCAGCCATAATTAAATGATGGGAAATACTTGCGATAAATAAAAGAGCAAAATTTTACAACGAAGGGGCTGAAGTGAGTGATGAAGTAAATCAAATGAAATAATCGAATAATACGGCAATTTTTAGAAATTTACTGAATAAACGTTTAATGAAACGATCGATAGAAATTTCACGCATTCCCAATGTTAAAGTAACGCAAAAATGTAGGTTTGCGACACGAAAGCTTCTACCGTGTACGTAGCAATTTTCCAGCTTCTTATCTGTAGATCCATCGTCAGTTCAAAGTCACATCCTTAGATAAAAGGTGGCTCACTAGGTCTGGGACATCTCGGGCTTTCTTCCGTTGTTACGTATGTTATCTGCCCACGGCAGCAGTTCGACTCATAACGTCGCATAAATTAACATATCTTATCGCGCTTATTCCACCGGCTCCGTAACATCTCCTTAAAACCGAGGAAGATCGAAACCGGTAATTTCAGGGAGCTCGATAAGCACATAGGAGTGGTTTTCGCGAGCAGTTTTCGCGGCATCGAACCTTCACAGGCTCCTTGAAATTATACCGCTTGTGGAACCTGCTTCGAGCAGGGGGCGACTTCGCGCACTCCCGAGAATGCAAGTAACACGATCGAATATGAGCTAGGACTGAAAGTGGCGAACGGCACGTCGCACTCGGCTGAAACGATCTCGCTATTGTCCACTAAAATACCGCGACATAAATACCGTAGGGATTAATCCTCGCGGCAACATTTGACGCGACGAATGCGCGCGGGGAAGGGTTGGCACGGGAGTTAGCATATATTAACCTTTCATTATATAGTCTGTCAACCTGGGGCTGGAAGAAGAAGACAACGCGAAGAAGAGCTTGCATATAGCCTTCTCAGAACTCGCGACTTTCCCTTCTCGTGGGTGGAACAACGAGACAGTTGAGATCATCGGTGATCGCGAAACAGTCAGCGGATCCTGGCCAAACCTAACTTGACCTAGTCGACCAGGATACGTGCCACTTTTGTGCGCGATGTTTTCTTCGTGCTCACACGAAGCGTCCCTGCCGTACGTGAATCGATTACGAAATCGGACGAAATGGCTTTATGCTAATGAGAACCGTGAGGTGATATTGTATGGGATCGATGAGCGCTGGTCTAAAAGTGAAAATAGTCCGTGACCACACCAAAATACGCAGTCCGGCTGACAATGATAGCTATTGTAACGTAATACAATATAGTATAGAAAGGTGTGAACACATTTTTACGACGTACTATATTTGTTTTCGGAATGTATCGTAATATATGACACCCACCTCTGCACAGAAAGTCAATCGAATCAAATTTCCAATTAATATTCCGTCAAATTCCAATAGTATCTGAAGAAAAAGTAAGATCGTACCGAAAGGATGATGAGAGGAAAAAGTGGGTCAATGTTGGCCGCCGGGCGAGTAAAAACGGTATGTTACTTAATAATTTTTCAGCCGCCGTATTTGATTCCGACCTTGAAGGAATTTTAATTTGCCAAAAAGTAGAAAAAAATAGAAAAAGCAGACCGTTTTGACTTGCCAGTCCGTGGAGCAAAATCGGCCCACTTTACCCAACGTCCTTCAATTTGCGGAGGTGTTACCGGTTTTTAGCCGCTCGGGAACCATCAGACCCCAACGACCGCGTCTTAAGGTGTGCGATTAAACGTGCGCGCCGAATGCGTTCGGATACGTCATGGCGGAGGAACCTCGGCATCCCCACCTTGACATTTCCCCGGGCCGTATGCGGGAAAGAGGCCTTTATATTCATCGTGTCGCCATTTAGGGGGACATGAGCGCAATCTTCCGAGAGAGCATCTCGCGGCCTTTCGCAACGGCATCCGGCGGCTCTGCTCTGCTCGCGAGCACAGATATCCTCGTTATTATCGTCGTCATGACGAGACCCCGCGGGAATCAAGCGGAGATAGGAGTTTCTCGCTCTCGAATCTGGTCCGTCTGGGCCGAGACTTTTTTTTTTATCGGCGCGAAGCAACATCAACCTGATGATTGCGCAACGACGGTCGGTCACTCTGCGGCTTTTATTGCGGCACTCGCGATCGTTCGGCTCCCGCGAAATTACGACCGCTTCCTCCAGCGTTAAATAACACGTGCCTCGCGATGCCAAGTATGGCGCACGTGTCGTGAAGCGTCTCGGCTTGATATTTATACGCATATTTATGTATACGCGTTTCTCTAATCTGCGCGCACACCTATTTACATTTACCGTGCGTTCCCAATAGCGTCGTCGGTCGCTCTCGAAAAATAAGATTTCCTCTGCACGACGCACCGATCGGCCGCTCGCAGATTTGTCATTCGTCGAAAGCGTCTGAAAACGCACCGTACTTCCTCGATTTGTCTCATACATATTTATGAGCCGATCAGAAGGATGATCTTATGCACGTGTTTTCGTGCCACCGCACAGTATCACGGCTCTCAGTGCTTTTCGAAATGATCGAGTATTCTCTCTCTCTCTCTCTCTCTCTTCCTCGGTCTCTGCCGGCCCGTCCACTTCGCGTAACTCTCGTCGACATAATTATGATAATTGCTATTATAATTACGTAACGGACGGAAAAACATACCAGATAGACGACAGTATCACATTGACCATTTTGTATCTAGGTAGAAAGATATGTAATACAATTAGCGTGTTAAGTGGATTCTGAAAGAGTCTCCTCCGTGGAGAAGTGTGCGCGAATATTGCCGATTGCGTAATATCACACGTAGTCGCGTGTCCGGCGGATGTGGCCGAGTACTTCTAAGAGCTATCGTCCTATGCAAATTGAAAATTCGGGAAGAATTTCTACTATTCGTTATTGATTTCGCTTTCGACTTTCGCCCACGTAGAATGGATAATTAATCAAGATCATCGGCAGAGCGTGAAATGTGGCTGATGCGACACGCGCTCGTGAAAGTGAAAATTTGTTATTTCATAATCAGTATCAGTATATTATCCGCAACACTTTCGAGGAGAGATAAAGACAAGGAATTCTGCGTGAATTGGTCAATCCTCCTCGAAAAAGAGGCGTGTAGCGTCGTGATTAAGCCATGTTTTTTTCTCACATTTTTTAGAATGTTGCCAGACTGCGCAATATTTGTGGAATTAATATCCAGGTAACGAACGTACGAATGATCTGATCGTGTCTCTTGACATTTAAAATGATGTGCTGTGCCATTAGAGAATCTTTGGACGATAAACTTTGGAAAGGTTAACAGAATTATTCGAATCCTGCAGATCTACATTGAGAGGCGGCACGTTTTCCCTGAATCCGCGAAGTCACCCTTTTATTCGATTAGCTAGTAAAGAATCTACCAGATCTCCGATATATAACGAAGTTAATGTATTTCTAGGTATATATATATATATATATATCACACGCAATACGCGCGATTAAAAGCGGTTGAATAATAAGTGAACGTACCTCATGCAGCTCACGGAGTTTCTCGCATTTCTCTAATCGCGCGATATATCTTCGAACTAAAACGTCCAGTAGTTTAGACCGCGGTAACTGCTGAGAAACGGGAAATGATCATGATATTTCACGATTATACTTGTAGATCGTATCGAATAGTTAATCCTGGCGACCGATATTAAAGGCCAGCTATTTTTAAACACCTCCCGATAATTACATTGTGCTCCATTCGAAATGTCACGTGCCTTGACAAAGCAAAATTATTGCAATTGGCGATCATTTCTTATTAGCAGAGCACTCTCCCATAAAGATATAACGCGTCTTAATAAATATGATTTCTGTTAATTGTCCCTGCCTCGCCGAACACTCGAATGAAAACGAATAATTGCTTTGTAGGTGATTGCTACATCCGTGTCGCAATTCACTCAGGAGCCAAGAAATACCGATCGGAGCGACGAGGTGGTTCTGAGCATTAGTGATAAGCAGAAAACTCAGTACTTGAGCCAAAACGTTAAGGCAGGCGAGTATACAAAAAAGAAATGCCTCATAAAGATTCGCATAATTAATAAGATATAAGAGTGAATTAAATTTACATTTTGTAAAGTTTGCTTCAATCATAAAGCTGTTTCTAAACGGAACTATGTATACTGTAAACTTCTCTCAATTTAAACTGAAACTTTGGATACAGAGGAGAAATTTAGAATTAATTGGTAACCAAAATTCATTACTAACAAAACTTACAATTCGTTACAAAACAAAAACATATCATTGATTATTATAGATGCTTACAAATATGGTTACGATGTAAACCCTCATGGTCAGTTCCATCATGAAGTACGTGGCCCGGACGGTGTTACCTATGGATGTTATGGTTACGTTGATCCCTTTGATCATCTAAAGGCGACATTTTACCTCAGCGACGGGTGGGGTTATCGCGTTGTCCAGCCAGGAAAGGACGTGGAACTGTTTCTTCACAAGCACGAACATCACGAAGGGGATGATGGTAACCATCATGATCATCACGATCATCACGGTGTGATTACACCTTGGCAGCAGCTCTATTTCCCAGCGGTGTGTGCGCAATATGAAGGTACGAAAGTTCGGCCTCCAGTAACGCCACCATTAGCAGGTATAGCAGATACGTGTAGATATAACTACATTAGAAATATATATNCTCTTATATCTATGTAAATATATATATCTCGTGTATATATATATATATATATATATATATATATATATATATATATGAATATATCAAAATAAATGCACACATATTGACGTTTTGTTAAGCAGTACCTATCGGAAGTGGAACAACGATCGATGCAACGCCGACAAAACCACTACGACCTCCTTATAAACCTGATTCACTTGGTATGTCACTTAAATTTTATTATGTATATATATAAAGATTATTAATGATTTATGTATCATATATATTCATAACACGTATAACAGAAAAGTATTAGAGAAAAGTACATCTGTAATAACAAACTGTGTCTTATCTGATACTTTAGACATTCCTGGGGGGCCATCATATCCGGGTCAACCTGGCATACCAATTATATCAGAATCTCCTGGATTACCGAGTTCATCAGGAATTCCCGCATCACCGGGAACACCGGGAACGCCAGGAAGTCCAGGGAGTCCAGGGACGCCAGGAATTCCTGGAAGACCAGGAACGCCAGGTATACCCGGGTCATTAGGAATTCCCGCATCGCCAGGAACATTAGGAAGTCCAGGAACGCCAGGAAGACCAGGAAGACCAGGAATTCCAGGAAGACCGGGAACTCCTGGAAAACCAGGAACACCAGGGACACCCGGGAGACCAGGAACATCAAGTGCTCCAGGTTTTCCCGGAATTCCAGGATCACCAGGGACACCAGGTGTTTCACATTTTCCCAGCACACCAATATCCTCCAGTAGTCCAAATTTGCCATTACCACCAGGGAGACCAGGAGGATCAGACTCTTCCGGAATATCTTATCCATCCTATCCTACATCAGGAAGTCCTGTCAGACCCATATCACCTGGTTCGACGAGTTCCATACCTTCAATTCCTAGTAGACCAATAACACCGTCTTACCCAGGACATCCTGGACAATCAACTACATCAGAATCTTCCGGCATTCCAAGTACATCTGGAACACCAGGGCACCCAGGAACACCGGGTACGCCAGGAACTCCTGGTATTCCCGGAACACCAGGAACACCCGGAAGACCGTCTCATCCAATAACACCGATTGGGCCAGGCATTCCTCCTATTCCAGGGACATCAGGTATACCGGGATCACCAGGATTTCCTGGTACTCCCGGAACACCAGGAAGACCAGGATCACCAGGATTCCCTGGTACTCTCGGAACACCAGGAACGCCAGGAAGGCCAGGAACACCATCTTATCCAGGACAATCAGGATTTCCGGGCATACCAGGGACACCGGGTATTCCTGGAAGTTTAGGAAAACCAGGAACGCCAACTTATCCTGGAACATCAGGAAAACCGGGTACGACAGGTTTTCCAGAACTTCCATCTTCTCCGGGGCACCTCGGCATACCAGGTACACCAGGATTTCCTGGCACTCCTGGGACACCAGGCACCCCAGGTATACCAGGAAAACCAGGAACATCGCATTACCCGGGGACGCCGAGCTCGCCAGGAATTCCAGGAAAGCCAGGAACATCGCATTACCCAGGAACGCCAAGCTCGCCAGGAATTCCAGGAAAACCAGGAACATCGCATTACCCAGGAACGCCAGGCTCGCCAGGAATTTCAGGCATTCCAGGATCACCTGGTACACCTGGATTTCCAGGAACATTAGGGAAACCTGGAACACCAACTTATCCCGGATATCCAGGAATATCTGATTCTCCAGGTTTTCCCGTAGGACCATCCTATCCAGGACATTTTGAAATACCGGGTACACCAGGATCTCCCGGTATTCCTGGAACACCGGGAACTCCAGGACGTCCTGGAATACCAGGAAGGCCAGGAACACCGGCGATAACAGGCACACCCGGTATACCCGGGAGGCCAGGCATACCAACTATATCAGTAATACCATCTTACCCAGGACATCCCGGCTCTCCAGGGACACCGGGTACCTCAGGATCACCAGGCTTTCCCGGGACACCGGGTACTCCAGGATCTCCTGGCATTCCCGGAAGGCCGGGTATTACAGGAACACCTGGCATACCCGGAAAGCCAGGTACACCAGGAAGTTCCGGCACTCCGAGTATACCAATAATACCATCTTATCCAGGACATCCCGCAATACCAGGATCTCCAGGCTTTCCGGGGACATTGGGTATCCCAGGATCTTCTGGCATTCCCGGAAGACCGGGTATTACAGGAACTCCTGGCATACCCGGAAAGCCAGGTACACCAGGAAGTCCTGGCATTCCAAGTATACCATCTCATCCAGGACATCCCGCAATACCAGGACCTCCAGGCTTTCCTGGGACACCGGGTACTCCAGGATATCCTGGCACACCCGGAAAACCAGGTATACCAGGAACGCCTGGTACGCCCGGAAGACCGGGTACGCCAGGAAGTTCGGAAACTCCAAGTATAACAATAATACCATATCCAGAGTACCCCGTAATATCAGGATCTCCCGGCACTCCGGGAATACTGGGTACTCCAGGATATCCTAGCTTTCCTGGAACACCTGGCATTCCCGGAAAGCCAGGTACACCAGGACGTCCCGGAACTCCAGGTACACCAGCAATACCATCTTATCCAGGATATCCTGCAATACCAGGGTCTCCAGGCTTTCCCGGAACACCGGGTATTCCAGGATCTCCGGGTATTCCCGGCACACCAGGTATATCAGGCATCTCAGGTGTACCAGGGACACCGCATTACCCAGTGTATCCAGGAACCCCAGGTTTACCAGGAATTCCAAGCACTCCAGGATCGCCGGGTACGCCTGGATTTCCAGGAACATTAGGGAAACCAGGGACGCCAACTTATCCTGGATATCCAAGTTTCCCCGGAGGACCTTCTTATCCGGGACACTTTGGAACACCAGGTGCACCAGGATCTCCTGGCATTCCTGGAACGCCGGGTTCTCCAGGACATCCTGGAATACCAGGGAGACCAGGAATACCGTCTTATCCTATTCATTCAGGAATACCGAGTACGCCAGTAGCTCCTGGAATTACCGGTATACCTGGTAAACCAGGTATTCCTGGAACTACTGGAATCTCAAATTATCCTGAAAAACCTGGTCATCCTGGATACCCTGGAAAACCAGGTTTTCCTGGTCATCCCGGTCATCCCGGTAAACCTGGTATAATAACATATCCAGGAAGCCCTTCACATCCCGAATATCCTCATATATCAGAAATTCCAGGAAAACCTCAAATTCCGGGTCCTCCTGGAATCACTGGTAAACCCGAAATTCCAACAAAACCTGGAATTCCACCATTCCCACCTCATCATAATTATCCTAGTACATCAAATATACCAAGTAGTCCTGGAATACATGGCATTCCAGGAACAATACCGCCGAATTTAGGATATCCTGGTACTCCCGGCATTCCGGGTACTCCCGGCATCCCTGGAATACCCGGTACTGTTGGAACACCTGGAGGACATGATATTCCATCTTATCCTACATATCCAGGAATCCCCGGCACGCCAGGTATTTCGGGTGTTCCCGGAGTATTACCACATCCACTACATCCAGGATACCCTAGTAGTCCTGGTTTCCCAGGTACTCCTACATTACCAGGAAAACCAAGCATTCCATCTTATCCTGGATATCCAAGTACTCCTGGCACACCAGGAACACCAGGAACACCCGGAATACCCGGAACACCTGGAACACCTGGAAGACCAGGTATTTCATCGTATCCTGGATATCCAAGTACTCCTGGCACACCAGGAATACCCGGAATACCCGGAACACCCGGAACACCTGGAAGACCAGGTATTTCATCGTATCCTGGATATCACGAGCTCCCTAGTACGGACAAACCAGGCTTTCCTTCGAAACCTGGCAAACCAGGTATGTTATTGAAAGATCCTTGTAATTATTATTATGATTTAATTATAAGCGGTTTAAAATGCACCATATTAATATAATTATATATTTGTTTAATTTTTGTATCACACATTTATTTACAATCTAAAATGTTTGATGTCTTACAGGCCATCCAGGTTACCCTCCTTATCCTGGTTACCCGCTATATCCTTCAGGTCCAGAAGGACCAGTGGGACCTGAAGGTCCTATTGGTGGGGTAGGAGATGTCGGTGGTGTAGGTGGTATCGGTGGCGATGGAGAAGTCGGGCCTGACGGTCCTGATGGACCATGGCCGACTGGTTCACCTGGTCCCGATGGGCCGTGGCCTGGTGATCCAGACTATATGCCTGGAATAAAACCAACAAGGAGACCTTCGCACAGGGGACCATTGAAAAATCAACTGCCTAAAACCTATCCTCATGATACGAGCGATAATAACTATATAACGCCGTATTATCCTGGAAACAGGTCCGATTTTGCATACACAGGCTACAATGTAAAAAATCTCGAGTCCACAGATTTGTCGCATTCGACGAAATTAAGCACACCATATACGGGTCACAGAGAGTATGAATACGGGACCAAATCCTCGTCATTAATTTTTGGAAAGAAAGGAACCACCTACAATGCAGGTGAGATCAACTCCCTGTTACATGTAGGACCAACAGCACCATCGTTAAAATATATCGACGATGAAAAAATAGACTCGTTGAAGCATACTGTGCAACCTTACGATTATGTAACTCATACGAATCCAGAACCAATAGCAAAACTGCCTGAAACAAGCAATGGACCGTTTTCTGTGCACGATCAGGGCGAATACCAGAAGTCAGTGTTTTACCCGACGCACAATTTGCACCAACAGTCCCCGAGAAAACCGTATCGGCCGATTAAACTAGGACGCCAAGAAAGCGTGTTTAATACGCCTGAACAGTACAATAATTCTGCGAATGTGGATAGCAAAGAAATTTCTAACGTACCATTTCAGCCGGATGGACATATCACTGTTCCGGAGAAACAGGTAAATGCACGACTTGAACAGCCATTCCAGGCGAATCCCGGCTTCGACGCCATTGGGGTTCAGCCGCCCAGCTCCATCAACGTCAAGCCCTTTTCACTACCTATAGGCCCTGACCCACAAGCATGTCCTTGTTACCTAGTCGAGTCGAATAACAGCACAAACGTAGCAACCAGCACGACTCCTACCTCTGTCATTGGTCAGTTCGGATTCATTCCTGTTATCTTTGTACCATACTGTCCCGGCGACGAGACGGACAGCAGTAAAATGAAGGTCATGTTCCCATCCGCCACACCTGTCCCATATGCATGCGAAGCATGCGGCACACAAGACAGCAATTTCGGGATACAGGTGCTCGACGTAAATCAGCTTGGCAATGTCGATTATCTCAAGGAGGTGTTAAGTCAGGCCAATCTTGGGTTTTTAAATGTTCCAGTCAATACGGCCGCCGAACGAAGGAGGAACAGGAGCCGAAAGACGGAATAAGGAGTATAAACTAACTTATTGCTGTTAAATTGCAATCGTTCTAAGGGATGAGAAGTTCGTCCTCTCTCGAAGGGATATATCGATAAATATGGGATATTGGCTTTGCCCGTCCGTCCGCTGCTGGTTAGCCGATGGATGGCCAATTAGGGACACTTACAATGCTTGTCGGAATAACCAGAATCAGTGAGTATACACGAGGGGTTCAGGACAAGAGTAAATTTCATAATTCCTGTATAAGGTTCAGTTTAAACGCGATATCTAAAATGGACTTTATAAATAATGGATCTGCTCGAACAATATGTTTGTTCTGAACTCTTGATATTTCTCTATTGCTTCACTCTGTTTCTCTTTCATTCTTTCCATCGTGCTATGCAATATTTACCTGTACAATATTTACAAATATCGATACAAGTTGTATGTGTGACAGCAATAGAGATTACAAGATTTATATTTGATCGCTGATTGTGGTTATTCATTTAATTTTTGGGTTGACGTGAAGCTATATTGAGATCTTTTATGAATAAGGAGTGATTTGCTATCTCTTTGTTTCGTCAATTTTTGTCAACCAATATCCTGATATTTATTATTAGAATTTATGTTAACGACACCAAATTTTTATATGCGTAAAACCTCTATGTTCTCTACGTTGGATTACTTTGATAAAATGGAGATTA